AGAAGAAGAAGAAGAAGAAGAAGAAGAAGAAGAAGAAGAAGAAGAAGAAGAAGAAGAAGAAGAAGAAGAAGAAGAAGAAGAAGAAGAAGAAGAAGAAGAAGAAGAAGAAGAAGAAGAAGAAGAAGACATATAGATAGTATGCCTGAGATTATGAATGTTGATGTGTGAATTATAAGTGTATGAGTTTGATAGTAAATTAGCTGGTTATGTTAGACAGCATTAAGTGGCCTTGATTGTGAGAAGGATGAAAGATAGACACACTTGTTATTATTTATCGAAATTTAATAAAATTATGGATTTGACAGATACTGACGCTGAGTCTGAAAAGGTAGAGGCACAAGGTGGCTCTCCTAGAAACATATTAAGTGACAATACGGAAGCTGGACCATCGTCTGCTGTTCAGGCGAACGTGCCTCATGAACCCGTAGAGACGAAGATGAAGCTGAAATTTTGGTTGTAATTGCTAAAAATATAATATGTTTATATTAAAAATCAAAATATTGAGCTGTAATCTTGAAAGTGTAATTGAATGTATGTGTACTTGCATAAATTTAAAATTATAATAAGTTATGTAGAAATATATTAGGTGCGCAATTAAGTTCTCGCTGTTTGTCAGTAGATGGCTCTAGCAGTAAGAGCTGGTCGATTTTGACATATCCAAAACATCATGAACCAAGCTTAGACATATGGTAAACAAACCGTTGCGACACATGAGCGATTTTGTTTTCGCATTATATACTTCTGGTCAAGTAAAAATGTCGAATTTCGTGCCAAACAGTCGTCATTTGCGGGAAGTGTTGATTTTCTTTTTTCATTCGAAAAAAACGGCAGCTCAAGCGCATCGAGAGCTTCAAGAAGTGTACGGAAACGCTGCTCTAAGCGAAACAACATGCCGTGATTGGTTCCGTCGCTTCAAAGACGGTGAATTTGATATTGACGACCGTCCACGTGAAGGAAGACCCAAAACCTTCGAAGACGCTGAATTGGAGGCATTGCTCGATGAGGATTCGTGCCAAACTCATTAAGAGCTTGCTGCAGAATTAGGAGTTACCCGTCAAGCCATTTCAAAGCGATTGCATGCGTTGGGGATGATTCAGAATCAAGGAACTTGGGTTCCTTATGAGTTGAAGCCAAGAGACGTTGAGCGTCGTTTTTTCGCCTGTGAACAACTGCTCCGGCGGCAAAAACGGAAGGGTTTTCTTCATCGCATCATGACGGGTGATGAAAAATGGATTCATTACAGCAACCCAAAGAGGATAAAATCCTGGGGACTACCCGGGCATGCTTCTACGTCGTCGGCTCGGCCGAATATTCACGCTGCGAAGGTTATGCTGTGCATTTGGTGGGACCAGGTCGGTGTTATTTATTATGAGCTCTTGAAACCGAGCGAAACCATCACTGGGGAACGGTATCGAACTCAATTGACGCGATTGAGCCGATCACTGCGCTAAAAACGGCCAAAATACGAACAAAGGCACGAAAAAGTGATTTTACTGCATGACAACGCTCGGCCTCACGTTGCCAAGCCTGTTAAAACCTACTTGGACACGCTCAAATGGGAAGTCTTACCCCACCCGCCATATTCCCCAGATATTGCGCCGTCCGATTTTTAGTTGTTCCGTTCGATGGCCCATGGCCTGGCTGATCAACAGTTCCACTCATATGAAGACATCAAAAAATGGCTTGATTCGTGGATAGCCTCAAAAGACGAACACTTCTGGCGTCAAGGTATTCGAGCTATACCAGAAAGATGGGAAAAAGTTGTGTCTAGCGATGGGCAATACTTTGAATGATTCATTTGTAACCATTTTTAAATAATAAAGTTATATTTTTATCGAAAAAAAAAGCGAGAACTTAGTTGCGCACCTAATATTTTGTTCTAGACTTGATAAACTTTAATGAATGAGTCTAGAATATTTTCGCAAAATCATATAGTGATGTAAAAAAGTTATGTGCGAGATTCGAACACGTTTTTGACTAATTTAGAATTTTATATAATTTTACACTGATATTAGTTAAGTTTTTTTATGCTGGCAACTGAAAGACCTGAGTTGATTGGAAACATTTTGCCAAGTATACGATTGGAACTGCTTAAAAAGGATTTAAAAAAAGATAAATTTTCATTTTATAACTGTTGTTATAATTTTTTTGATCGCGAAAAAGAATTTTATATTTGAATTTATAAGTATGGTTACAGGAAAGTAATATTTTTTGTATTTTTATTCCAATAAGTTTACAAACACAAGATGGCGACCTTCTGTCAAAACGCAATATAAAACGCATTGCTGCGCTTTTCGATTTCATGCTGGTAAGATTTCTGATCGTTTTATTTACTAATGTCAAAGTATGAAAACAAATAAACCGGGAAAAATACTTGACTTAATATTCTGATAGAATTATATTATTATCACCAATTACCTTGTGTAAAAGAAAAAGACAATAAGAAATCTTGTTCCTGCATTGTCATTCAAACATTACATTCATTAGCGAACCTATATCGACTATGATATGTGTTTTATTATATGTAAAATGTTAATTAATTTGCAGCACAACGACCATTTTTTGACGAAATAAAAGTCATTTGCTGTTTAAAATGGAACAAATAGTTGTAAAAACTGAAGTGCAATCTAATGGAGATATATTGTTATTTTACGTCGATGGTAAGTAATATTTTGTATTTCTTAAAATGTAATGTCAACATTGTCATGTATTTAAGTATAGCTGTGCCTAGAACTATTTAAATCAGGTTTAATATAATTATCATTAATAAAAAACTAGACTACTATCACTTAATTAAGTTACTAAAATTAATTTGTATTTTGTAACTTCAGATAAATTTTGCTCAAGATGTTCAAGAAAGATCTATCATTGAGTGAATGTATAATTTTTTTAATCATATTAGTTTCAAGTTTTGGATCTTAGTGACAAATTTATACAATGTTAATTTTTTGATGATAGTCTCTCATAATTAATATTCTTTTTAGAAAATAACAGTCAAGATTCCGGAGGAATAGGGAAACTAGAAGATCTAGATGACCATGAAGTGGTAGAGTTTCAGGAAAGCGACTTTGTATTTGCCAATGTTGAAGAATCAGTAGATTACACTTTAAATAATATAAAGACTAATACACATATAAATGAAGAATGGCAAGAGGAAGATGTACATAAGTTACTCAAATTATATGTTGATAACTTAAATAATATTGAATCTGGTACAACAACTAACCAACGTTTATGGGAAGTAGCTTGTAGGACAATATTTAAAGATAAAGATCCAACACTATGTGAAATTGGACTTCTTAGTCTTAAACAAAAGTATGCTGAAATACTTGCAAATTATCAAAAAACCGGAGTAATGGAAGCATGGCCTTACAACGAGATATGCCACCGAGCTTTTCATAATGATTATTATGTTAAGGAATTTGTTAATGAAAATGCAAATAATAAAGAGCCCGAAATTAATATAAAACCAACTGAAGCATCAAAAATCAATGAAGATGGTGTTTTAATTATAAACAAACCGGGAATGGGTAGACCTCCAAAACATGCTATTGATGAAAAAGTTGAACATATGCTTAACTTATATCTGAAGTATAAAGATGCATATAATAAGAAAAACTTGTACAAAAGCATCTGGAACAAAATTGCAATGGAAATGGGTGAAGAAGACGCAGAATATTGGCATAAAAGATTTCTTAATTTCAAACAGCACTACATTAGGATGTTGCATAGGCGTTATGAAGTTGGTCCTGATAAAATAAACTGGCCATATATGAAGATATTTGATCAAATCTTTGATGGTGATGAAAGATTTAAAAGTAAATATGAAGTCAAACATAATGATGAAATTAATAGTCATATAGAAGATAAAAACTTTAATGAAACAGAAAGAACAGTATTAGTTAAATACTGCTTTGATTGTTTTCATGAATTTCAAGATTCAACAATACCTAATAAATTTTTATGGCATGAAATTGGACGGTTATTGGAGAAAAATCCTGAATTATGTAAAGAGAAATATAAAGAAATGAAAAGTGAACATTTTAAAACTTTAATGAATGGGGAATATGATATAATGAATAGAATTCCTTCAGCAATTATTCTTGATAATATAATCGCCCGTGAAAATCAAATACAGTTAAAAAATCCTCGGAAAGACGAGGAATATGGATGGAGTATAGGAAAAATAGATGAATTAGTACAATTCTTCTATGATAATATGGAATTATTTAAAGACTCTGTTTGTTATTATGTATGTTGGTCTATGGTTGCGGAAAAGTTACAGAAGAATATGCACAGTTGTAAAAAGCAATGGGAAAAATTGACTTCATTATACAAATCTATATTAGAAGATAAAAAAGAGAATCCGGATATGCAGATAAATTGGAAATACATTGATGTGTTTGATCGTATTTTTGACTATGGTATGGATATAAATCTTCTTGAGGGTTACGAAAATATAATAGTGCATAATGAGAAAAATGGTCCGGAAAAGATTGGTGGTAAGTCAAGTCACTTTTACATAAATCCAGTTTTTCTAATTAAAGGTTACAATTTTTCAAATCTTTGGTTTATACAGTCGAACCTACGTAAATGAGAGTCTATGTGTCATTATATTTTTCTCGTTCATAAAGGTATCTCTCCCCCGAGATAGCCGCTTGTAGAGTTTGTCAGGACCAGACAATGATACTTACTTATAGATGTTTCTCGCTCAGTTGGTCAGTTGAATGGGATTGATTATCCACAATTACACTGATTTTCTTGCTTATCCAAGCTGTATTGTTTATAGTAAGGTACAAAATGAACTCCATTACTCGCCTAATGTTTAGTAACTACAACCTACATCTTTAAATTTAATAGATGTGTTATGGTGTATATGGTTATGCATTAAAGATTTTCCTTTCATACATTTTAATAACATAGAATTGTCTTATATCTTTCTCTTTAAAAGCTTATAATTGCACAATTTACCTTTGTGTAATTTTTTTAATGCTACCAAAAATTCAAAATTGATATATTTTAATGTATTGTTTTATTTTTTACAGTTAAAAAAGTACATATAGATGACGACAATATCGACGAATATTCAGAAGACGATGAATTGTATGACGAAAGAGGTTTTATGAAGCGATCCAAACGAAGAATCGGTGAATCCAAAGCCAATAGAATATTGGAATATTACTTAAAGAATAAAGAGAAATTCTCATGTTCGTTACAAAAGAAATTATCACTATGGGAAGTTTTAGCGAAGCAATTAGGAATAACTGCGGTTCAATGTGCACATAGATTTAGAAATTTAAAACAAATATATACAAGATATATACAAAGAGAAATAAATAAACCGGATATGCCGATTTTATGGCCATATTATGCAATGTGTAAGAAAGTATTTGGTTACCGAGCAATTAAATCTAAATTGAAAAATGGCAAAATAGGTTCCGATGATAGTGAAGAATGGGCGGCAAGAGAAATAAAACAATTAATAAATTATTTTGCAAAAAATTACGATTCTTTACATCAAAATTTGGAAGATCATTGTCGATGGTCTGATTTGGCTCGGGTTATTGGTAAAACTGAGTCTGCTTGTAGTGAGAAATTTCTAGAACTACGTAAATCTTATAGAAAGTTAACTACAATGAAGACGAGGAATCCGGAGATTAAAGTGTCTTGGAAATATTTTAATATGTTGGATGACATTTATACTTCAAAGGGTCAAACAAGTAATGAAGATTCCGAGATGGTTATGTGCGATGTTGGTGAAGGATTGGATATTGAAAGTATTAAGAAAGAGTTACCCGAAGGTAAGTCATCACTTTATTTCTTAATCATTTTAATAGATTTTGGTTAGTTTTATTACATTCATATAAATCAGTCAGTCTAAATCTATAGATGAGTTAAGTCAAATAGTTTTGAACCAGAAACGGGGTGGATAGAAACAAAACTAGAAATGCCTTTAAACCCTAAAAATGTTTTTTTCGATTTCTTAACAGATCATTAAATTCGAATTTTTAGATAGATAGATGGATGTTTGTTAGCAGGTATCTCCAAAAAGGCTTAACATATCTCGCTAAATAGGTATAGGTGTAGATCTTAGTCTGGATGAACACATCAGTTATCAGCTCACTATACATCCCCACTGAGGGACTCGGGACCTACCCTTAGTTAGGGGTGACTAGGCCATAGTCAACCACATTGGCTTAGTGCGGCTTGAAAGAACACAGGCTACTAATTGAATATTTTCTTTTATTCTATGCGGACGGAGTCGCAGGCGACAGCTATTACGTTATATAGAGTAAAAAGCTGCCTTATATTACTAAAATAAGTTGAATATATAATTAAAACTATATATTTATATTTTCAGATGATGATTTTGAGTATATAATAGTTATTCCCGAAGATCAAGAAATTATTGAAACAGTTGACGAAGAAATATTAACATTAGACTCTGAAAACCAAATAGAAGAGAATATTGAATCGAAACAAATTAATAAATGGAATAAAAGAACTAAAAAACAATTATTAATACAATATTTGAAATATATAAGATCTCATAAAGGAAAAGAAATAGATTCAAGAGAAATGTGGAAAGAAATATCATTAAAATTAATGAAACCACCGATGTCTTGTAGGAGAATCTTATTAAAACTAAAAAATCAACACAGAATGTCTGCGATGAATGAAGATTTTAAAACATCTCCGTATTACAAATTAATTGAGAAGATTTTACAATTAAAACCAAAATTTGCAAAAATTGGCAACGGAAAAACTTTACAAGAGAAAAAAATATATAAAGACGTAACTATATCTAATGAAAAAGTAGAAAAAGCATTAAAATATTATTTGAATAATTTGGAAGAATTCTTAAGTCCTAAATACGAGAAGAAATATGTATGGATGGAGTTAGCAAATATTATAATCGAACCTGTATCAAAAATTTTTAATAAAATTAATTATATGAAGAATTTATATAATACCGAGAATACAGTGGAAGCGGATTTTTTGGAATTAATGCAAGAAATTTCAGCTAAAGAAGTGCTTTTGAAAGATTTATTAATCACAGACTCGAAACCTATAAATGAGGGTAGTTTTGAATTTTGGACAGATGATGAAATAGAACAATTATTGACATGGTATTTGACACATTTGGATAAATTTAAAAATCCAAAATACGTGAGAAGTTATTTATGGATGGATGTATCGGAGATGTTAAATAAAAGTCCATTAAATTGTTCAAAAAAAATGTCTGAGATTAGAACTGAGTATAGAAATATGGTGAAAGAATCACCTCAAGAATTGAATGATTGGAGATTTTATGATCTTTGTCAGAAAATATATGGTACGGGGAAGAAATCTAATGTATAGATTTAGTTAACACGAGTCAAAAAATATGTATATTGCCATCTCTTTTCATCCCCCTAAAAAAATGAGACAAAACACAGGTCATACTGAATTACAGATAAGTTAAACTTAAGCAATTATTTTAATTTAGTTTTCTCATATTTTTTTTTTAATGAAATAACAAATTCCAAAACAATATTTAATAGAACTTTCATTATTGGTTTAAAAATATCGGTTTGTACATCCTATCTGTTTTGAAGTCGTTATATCCGGTTTTTATTAAACCATAATATATACAGAGTTAAATGTGTAAAAAAAACATTTTTAGAGAAAAGACAAGTAGAAAACAAGTTTAAAATGTGTTTATTCTAAAAAGCTTGAAGCAAATATCTATATACATTTATTTAGCGTCGAAAAATTTGATAACATAATATTTTTTGGCTTATATCTTGTTAAATGTATTTTCATTTAAGAAAAGTACTATTTAATTATTACTAGTGAAAATAAATTAAAAATACATGATTTTAGTTTTATTTATTATTATTTTTTTTTATAACAGAAGGGGGCAAACGAGCAGCGGGAACACCGAGGTGTTCAACGACGCCCATGGACATCAGCAATACCAGAGGAACCGTTGCCGGCCTTTGAGGTGGTGATAAGCTCGCTTCTTGAAGGACCCCAAGTCGTAGCGGTTTGGAAATACTGCCGAGGACAGACCATTCCACAACGCTGCTGTGCGAGGCAGGAAGTTTCGCGCAAACCGCACGGTTGTGGATTGCCAGCCATCGAGATGGTGTGGATGGAACCTGGCGGTCTGTCGTGTCGTCCGATGACGGAAGTCGGCGGCAGGAATCGTTCCAAACAATTCTTCAGAGCACTCCCCGTGGTATATGCGGTAGAAAATGCAGAGGGAACTAACGTCCCTCCGCAGTGCCAGAGTGTCGAGCCGATCAGTAAGAGCTCGGTCGTTGACGATTCGAATCGCTCTCCGTTGTATGCGGTCAAATGGAAGAAGCTGGTACTGGGGTGCTCCCGCCCAGAGATGCGAGCAGTATTCCATATGGGGCCGAACTTGCGCCTTATACAGCTGAAGGCGGTGGCCCGGTTGGAAATACTGCTTCGCTCTGCTAAGCACACCCAGTTTTTTGGAGGCCAGCTTGGCCTTGTCTTCCAAATGACCGCGAAACTGAACGTCATTCGATATGTCAACGCCGAGAATACTGATACTGGCTGAGGCAACCAGGGGAGTGCCCTCGAAACGAAGATCCACGACAAAGGGCTGTTTTTTAGCGGTAATGGCGCATACTTGTGTCTTTTTGGGATTGAAGTCAACAAGATTTTGCCGACCCCAATCCGAAACTTCACCCAGTAGGGTCTCCAGTTCAGACACAAGTTTGGTCCGGTTCTCATCGGCAGAGGCCCGAGAAACGTTAGCGCGGGCCGTGTACAGTGCATCACCCGTGCTATCGTCTGCAAAACAATGGATGTTGCTAATTTGCAGCATATCATTGATATGCAGAAGAAACAGGGTCGGCGACAGTACACAGCCCTGTGGGACGCCAGCATTAATTGGTTTGGGGTCCGAGCATGCACCGTCGACAACGACCTCGATGCTCCGACCCTCCAAAAAGCTGGCAATCCAGGCGCGTAGTTTCTCGGGCAGCCCGTAGGAAGGCAGCTTCGAAAGAAGTGCTTTGTGCCACACCCGATCAAAGGCCTTGGCCACGTCCAAACTAACCGCCAGGGCCTCCCTCTTGCCCTCGATTGCCTCCGACCATCGATGCGTGAGGTACCCAAGAAGATCACCAGCTGAGCGAAGCTGTCGGAAGCCGTACTGACGATCGCTAATCAGCTGGTGCTCCTCAAGGTACCTCATGAGCTGGCAATTGATGGTCGTTTCCATGACTTTCGAGAACAAGGTGGTAATGGCAATCGGCCTGTAGTTGGACGGGTCTGAGCCATCGCTTTTTTTTTGGGATCGGGTGGATAATGGCAGTCTTCCATGACTTCGGGACAATGCCTAGGGAGTAGGAGAACCGAAACAGGCGCGTTAAAACCGGTGCCAACTCAGGAGCACAAGTCCTAAGCACGAGGGGGGTATCCCGTCAGGCCCACTCGGCTTATGAATATCCAGAGATTGCAGCGCTTTTCGCACTGATCTCTGGATAAACTGGATTTCGGACATGGAGGTCTCGCCGCGTGGGATTTTCGGCGGCGAGTTACCTTTGTCATCCAGAGTCGAGTTGGCCGCAAAAAGAGAGCCCAGGAGATCGGCTTTCTCTTTTGCGGTGTGGGCCAACGAGTCGTCCCCCCTGCGCAAAGATGGTAGGGACGGCTTACAGAAGTTCCCCTGGACAGCCTTGGCAAGAGACCAGAACGCGCGAGTTCCCGAAGGAAGGTGCACTAGCCTCTCACCAATGCTGGCCACATGTTCTGACTTTGCCTTGGCAATCACTCTTTTGAAGGACCTGGAGGCAGAGTTATACTTCTTTTTAAGCTGGCTGGTATTTACATCCCTAGCTGCAGACGCCTCAGCCCAGGCTCGATAACAATCCTGCTTGTAGCGCGCGGCTAATTTGCAGGACTTACCAAACCAGGGCCGAGAACTACCCCCGATGGGCACAACAGAAGACGGAATAAAAAGATCCATCACCTGAAGCACCACATCGGCGAC